GAGAGGTGGAGGAGAATGTTCGAGCATACTTTAGTGTAGCCCTACGCACATCAGAGCAGTGTCGAGATGGTCCGGCGTCATGCGCGCGCGACTTCTGCTCTGCTGTGCTCTACTCTACTCACGGAAGGACGATGGATTCGCTCACAGTCTCTGTTCCTTCAGGTCCTGCGCTGTCCCCAGCCCCATCCTCAGGCTTTTGCCGCCCACGTCCCCGTGTCTGTGCAAAAGGCGATAATTGCGACAGGTCTGGTAATCTGAAGGATCTGCTTTGACAAGCTCTTCCTGACCGGATGAGGTGCGCAGTGCGGGCTGAATTCAGAACATGGATGGTAGGGGAGCAGAAGGGAGAGCGGGGTGAGGCGAGAGCATGGGTCCGGCGCGCATCCCGATGAGATTCATGAAAGCGTCTTCTACTGCTTGAGGGTGCGCATCCCGAGAGGGAGAGGGAGTGGGAGTGGGAGTGGTGGGAGGAGAGGAGGGGTGCACGTGCGCGTGCGCGTAAAGCTGAACTCTGACGGATTGCACTCGGACCGGCCATGCTTGCCATTCTGCACGCCAGATCGGCCATGGCCATGTTCAACGTGATGGTCAACCAGCCAGCCAGCCAGCCAGCCAGGTAGCTGACTAATCAGCGAGTGAGCGTAGAGCGTCGGCTCCTGTCTGATATGAGCATGTATGCGCCCACGCTAGCCTTGCCTAGCCTAGCTTTTGCTGTAGTCGAAGCCTTGCCATGCGACAAAGGGGCGATGAAGCCAGGAGGTATGCGCAAGGTTTGGTCGCTGCTGATGGGTCTGGACGTTGCTCGCGAGTCGAGCGCGAAGAGTTGTGTGCGTGTGGAATGAATGAATGACGCATCGTTGATTGCGAACTTGTGAAATCGAGGAATTTGGAATCAATTGTGAATCTTGAATGCATCACTTGAATCAGCTCAGCAGCGGCGTGGTCATATTCCATTCAAAGTGATCGAATCGATTAATTCTTGCTTCTGGCGCGTACGTGGAGGTTCGTCTGCCTGCTTACATTTCAAGATTGCTTGCTTCGTGCGCGCGTGATTGATCAGCTGTAGGTATGCGCATGCACGCGCACGCCCTTGACTTCGCCGCTCTCAATTGAATCAAGAATTCTTGATTTCAATCAAAGTCACACAACACTCACGTGACTCTTGACTTGAGTGC